GACTGTAACACTTACTTTCACACAACTTAAGACGGGTAACGCAAATTCATGTACGGCAATTCCAACGTTTTTCAGTTTTCTTTTTTCCTCTCGTCTAACTTGGGTGTTGCTTCATCATCTGGACACCAGATTGTGGTTTTCTTCCTCCTTGGGCAGGTAACTTCTGTTTGTGCCTGTAAAATGAATAACAATTAGACAAGTGCTAATATTTTTCTCAGGTATATTGTAGTGCCAATAATTTGACGTGTCGTTCTTCTGCTATCATTTGCAATTCACACTGCTGGACTAAATGTGTAAAACTACTTTCACAAGCCACCATTACCTTTCACAAACAACTCTCCCATTAACGCTACACCACACTTAGGTCACACAGTGCTGCTGCCTGGATGTTCCTTCCATCTCCTTAGCCATTCTTCCGTTTTACCACTTTATTTTTTAATTCTTTCTCTTCTTACTTTAAGTTTGTCTATTACAGTTCCACACCTTTCCATCACTGCCTTATTTCTTCAGTCACTATATAGACTGACGCCTTTACCCCCTTAACCCTTTGACGACGAGTATATTACCCTTTGAGGATGATGGTTTAACCCTTTGAGGACGAATATTTAACCCTTCAGGACTCAAAGGGTTCATGACCACTCACCACCTTATACTCTCCTGTTCATTGCTCTTATACATTATTTACCCGCCCCCTCCACCCGCGCCCCCTCCACCCGCGCCCCCTCCACTCTCCACAAAACTCAAGCGTCTCCCATTCTTCTTCAACCTCTCCTCCACACCACCTTTCTAGTCCCTTAAATCTCTCACCCCACACTACTCCTCCACCTCCTTTACTATTACAATCATCTGCACATCTTTGAATCTCACACACTGGTTCATCTATCCACGAATATTCTCACTTCTGCCTTATAATGGTCATACAATCCATACATCTAATAATTATAAACGGCCTCTCACACCTTCCATAATACCTTGTCATTGTACTTCATTTCATCACATAACTTCACATTTCAACTTAACTCTCACTCTTTCAAACACTCAGGACTTTACTTCCTTCACCTGTCCCCAGCTCACTCCTACTCCGCCCTTCACCTTAGGCATCACCCCCATTACATACCCAAGACCTCAAGTTTTCTTTCACTCAATGCATTCAATTACTATCTATACCGTGATTATATGTACACATCTAAACATCAAATCCAAGGTGATGTTTTTTTTTTTTTTTTAATTTAAGGTGGGCTTCAGAACTCGCCCCACCCCACCCTCGTGCACTGAAAAAGCGTATGTCAAGCTTCTAGGGTCATGTAAGCTTTGAACCTGCAAGATAAGCCTTTAATATTCAAGGATCGCCGAATTTGTTGAAGGAATTTGTCTGTTATAAAAGCCCCTTTTCCTCTATGTTACTATGAAAGACCTATGCAATGCTGTACCACCCTCCCACACACCACCTCCAGACACCACCTCCAGACACCACCCCCCACACACACCACCTCCAGACACCACCCCCACACACACCACCTCCAGAGACCACCCTCCCCACACCACCTCCAGACACCACCCCACACACACCACCTCCAGAGACCACCCCTGCACACCACCTCCAGACACCACCCCACACACACCACCTCCAGAGACTCCCCACCCCACATGTCCACCAACATCACCAAATGTAATATAAACAATACAAATCCCGTATTTACTAATAGCTACATAAATTACATCCTTCATAAACATAACTAACAAAAATTTCAATATATACAAACCTTTTCAGAAGTATTTAAAGTCGCCACCATCAGCAAGAGTTGATGAGTAAGGAAAGGTTTAGGTTCGTTATCTTCCCACTCGTCCACACACCTGTTGAATCGGTGAAATGTACTCGTTAGTTTTATCACCTCGGTATTATGAATCACAATCACTTCCCAGCACCACCACCACAATCACTTCCAGCACCACCACCACAATCACTTCCCCAGCACCACCACCACAATCACTTCCCCAGCACCACCACATAATCACTTCCCCAGCAGCACCGCCACAATCACTTCCCCAGCACCACCACCACAATCACTTCCCCCAGCACCACCACCACAATCACTTCCCCAGCACCACCACCACCACACCACTTCCCCAGCACTCACCACCACCACCACAATCACTTCCCCAGCACCACCACATAATCACTCTGCAGCACCGCCACAATCACTCCCCAGCACCACCACCACAATCACTTCCCCAGCACCACCACACAATCACTCCAGCAGCACCGCCACAATCACTCCCCAGCACCACCACCACAATCACTCCCCAGCACCACCACCACACCACCCCAGCACCACCACCACCACAATCACTCCCCAGCACCACCACACACCACTCCCCAGCACCACCACCACAATCACTTCCCCAGCACCACCACCACCACAATCACTTCCCCAGCACCACCACCACAATCACTCCCCCAGCACCACCACAGTCACTTCCCCAGCACCATCACTCCCCCAGCACCACCACCACAGCACCCCAGCACCATAATCAGTTTTTTAATACCACACAATCAGTTAATCGGAGTCGCCAGCAGGTGTACTTAGCTACGACAGACAATCAGTAGGTCCCAGGAGCGAGGTGGTCCAGCCCGGCAGAAAATCAAACGTATTATGAGCCGACGAGCGCGTGACTACCCCCTGTTCTCAAGTTTACAGTAGGCTCGAAGCATCTCACTGACACACACACACACAGCAAGCCGAGCCACCTTCATTTGAATAATCATACTTAAACGATCATCATTTACGTCAATTAAAAAACATTTCAACTTGTGGCTCACTAATAATAACACTCTGACCTGTACTTAGCTAAATAAAGATTTTGACGAACCGGATTCACAGCTCCATGACCCCAGATACGGATCTTCGTTCATGAAGAGTTTCGAATCCTTGGTGTTTCATGAGGCCTTGAATATGACGTCAGGGGTAGGCGGAGCTTAGGAACAAGGTGTTGGGTTAAGTGATGGTCATTGTGGTTGTTTGTGGTGACCAATAACACCATAAATACGTACATTAGTAATTAACTTAACTTTTTAATGTGTACGTGATCTTTACTTCTCAATTAATATTAATAAAGCTTTATGTTTATCTTTCTAACGAGCCATCCACCAACCAAAACTTATAGAGCATTACCTCTATCTATTTTTGTCTGTCTATATACCGTTAAAAATATATTGAGTTTTTCACGCATCTGTCTATCAATCTAGGTGAACGTCCTTTGATGTGTCTGGACCTGCGCCAGTGTTAGAACTCTCGGAACAATCTGCCAGAGTGTTGAGACGGCACCGAGTGTGAGCTCTTTCAAGATCAAACTTTATAATCTTTCATATGTAAAATTGATATCAATATTCTTCTGTACCGATAATTACGCTCTTCTCTAAAGGCTCTCTTACTTATTTATTTAGAGTTGGTGATACAGCGCGTATTTCACTTATTCTGTCCTGGGCTCGAGTCGTGACCTGCCAGAGAGCGTTTTGACGGCACCAAGGATGAGCTCTTTCAATTTTCCCTTTTATCCTCTTTACCACTGATCGGCTCGTGAGCCGCTTGGGCGGTCGGTCACGTCTCAGTTACACACTATTGGCAACTACTGAATATGCACTGGCTCCTGGGTGAATCTAACCTGCTCCAGTGCTGGCCTTGAAACAGCTCACACTCGGTGCCGTCACAATACTCTCTGGTAGATTGTTCCAAGAGTTCACAACTCTCACTCCGAAATAGTTTGCCCTCACAATTTTCTGGACTTGTGTCTTCTTCAATCTTGAGCTGTGACCCCTTGTGGGGCGAGCGTCCGCCAGCTCCAAGTCAGGACACTCGACTGAGTACACTGGTGTATGCTGTCGAAATCCTTGGCGAAATCTAGGTATATATTGTCGAGCGAATAGGGTAGTAAAAACAAAGATAAAAAACAATAGAAAAGATGAAGCGATCTGGTTGAGCCCAGATTCTTTCTACTCCTACTATATTTCAGTTTCACCACTTTTCTTCAATCCTTAATAATCTTCTTTCACCGCATAACTCATGACTTCAAATTCAAATAGTAAAATAAAGAACTATTTCATACTGCATCTAAGTCATCTGTTACGTACACAAAGAGTAAATCTATTCACTAATCACTATTAACTTTGGGATGCAATAATAGTAAGTTTCCCCTGTCTCTTTGGGAAGTCTCGGGCGACTCATAGAAAAAGGAAACACCTTGAAGGGTTCCTCTGACAAACGACGTTTATGGATATTGTTGGGTCTTTACCCTTGCATAACAATAAATAAGGATAATCAAAGTTAATAGTCACCATATATTAAGAAACCGTTGATATATTATTGAAAATTATAATACAGCACAAGAGCGGAGCCAGGTGGGGGTCCTGGAGGGTCCCAACCCGCTTTTCATCAGAAAATTCCAATACTTTTTCTTTCATGCAGTATTGTACTAAGGCTTTTTTATAGTAAAGAGTAATTAATATTGACACAGAATATCTCCTAATACTAAGTGAACACGGCTTCAAAATAGCCTCAAAATGTCCAGGATTTTGGTCAGATTTTAAAAAAAATCTGGGGGCTTACAGCGACCACCCCCCACCCCAACCCCCAGGCTGGGTGGGCTCGCTGTGCCCGCCATGTTCCCCTACCCACAACTTCTTGAACCCCTCCCCTTTTGATATTCCTGGATCTGCCCCTGTACAGCAAAGTGGGAATGATATGGGATAAATATATACTTCCTCTGTGAACTAAAAGTACCTCTCAGAAGTTCTCAAAATGACAATAATTTGCCTCCTGTTACTAAACTTCAGTTATTCAAAATTATAATAAATGTGAATATATTACTGTTTATATAATTAGTTTAATTATATTAGTTTTATCGTGTATTTAAGATAATCATTACATAAAGATATTAGTTTATTTACAAATATAATACTCGTTTGCTAAGACTACAGGGAGTTGAATTAATCTATCGTAATATAAAAGGGTGCCTGCCGTACTGAGTGGCACTGGGGGCTTTGCCTCCTGGGGTATGGCCATCAAGACATACCCGGCACATAATTTTTAAACACAGAAGGAAGTTCGTATGCCTTGCGCCCGGACTCCTTCTCCTATGTAAAATTCCTGCAGCCCAGTGCTGCTTACTGAAGGACAATCTACAGAGCAGTAATCATGATACTGTACTGTAAAGAAGCCAAGGAAAATTACCATTAACCTCTATCAATATTCTTATACTGTTAATAAAGAGAAATCGTCATTTTAATAATTAATTAAATATCTAACTACTGTAGTGCTTTTCTGTATCAGACAGTCGATTAAGATACCACATAGGACCTCAAGTAGTTATATAAGTATTTTCTAGAGTTTCTCCAGACTTGTACAGATGTTCAACACTCCCTTCCAAGTGCCACGTGTCTACTCATGTGTATTGTTTTAATATCATAAGAGGGTAAAGATGGATGGACTGTACTGGCTAGCTGATGTGGGTTGATGATGGTGGTAATGGATGGTCACTTGCAGGGCTGTGAAATAGTTTGTAAACACACCCTTCAATTGTACTTTATTATTTATTCAATATATATTTATTTGTACAGTATTTCATGTTATTTCTATATCGATTTATGTGTTTCTGTATAAAAAAAAATATTTTCAGAAGCATGACTGCAAGAATGACCCAACCATGGAAAACTGTATCGACAAAAAGCATTGAAATTGCCCATTATTTGAAGGAATATATTTCAATACCACCACAATTTACAGCTGCATAACCCCATGTGTGCAGGGTCACCTCTGATCTGAAGAAAATAGTTTGGTGAGCAGGTTTGGGCCAAGCAAAGTGACACTAGTAGGCCATCACTTACTCCACTCACATCCATTATAGTTTTTGGTGTTCCTTGGCTTTCTCCTGAGGTATGTTCTTACAATCTGTCTAGAACTAAAGGAAGGGGTCTTAATACAACTACACTGGCAGATTCAAGGGGGATTCACTGGTACACTTACGGAAATGTGTTCCTACATCCCGTGGTAACCCGTGCCTCCAAACAGCCGGTCATCTCCACTCACATCCGTCATTGCCACAGGGGGTGTAGGAACTCTGCAACTGTACTGTAAAACTCCATTTGGAAGAGAAGTTGATCAAAAAAGTACGACCAAGTACATGAGGATATGTCTACTCATCTTAGCCTTAACATTTTCCACTCAAGTCATCCGCTAATCTCTCATATTATTTCCCCCATTATTGAAGGTTACCGTATCCCTTCATCGACCTCACACAAAAATAAGATAAAAGTTGAAGTATAATGTAAGCCATCACCTGAACACAAGGGATTAATAGAAGATGGGCAGAGTATACTAGGAACATACAATGATAAAAATGGAAGAATTATATAAACTGTAATGATGAATCTGTCAGTTTTATATTTGTTACAAATGATAGTCCTAAGAAAAAAGATATAAATGGCAAATGGCTTTCTTTATTTATAATCTAATACAAGTATATTAGTTATAAGATACCATGATTTGATTACCTTACAATATTATGATCCAGAGAGTCTTTATACACCATACAAATTTGTTTCCCTATTCAGTACCACAATTTTTTCTGATGTAGTGATACTCAGTTGACTCCTTTCAGTATGATTGTATGTCCTCAGGAGAAACAAAGAACAAGATATGACAGCCAAGCTTTTGTCTGCATTCAATATACATTTTACACATGATGACCAAGTGTAAAAATTGATCAGTTTATATTTCATGTGTTTACTGTGAACTCTGTATGCACTTACCGGTAGTTCTTGTATACAGTAGGAACCGCTCGCCAAACTCTAAATACTGTAAAGTCATGAACAATGTACACCTTCAATATTTGTCATTACTAAAATTCATACAGATACAGATGACCAAATAATAATAACAAAATGATGAGGTTAAATATATTGTACACTATCAGATAACATGACGTGTTAATAAATATATTTAGCCCAATTCATAAAATGAACTTATAAATCTTCCATATTAGCAATCATTCTTGCATTAATAAACTGTATGAAATTGATTATTTATGAACACTTTTAAGTGAATAAATATTTGCACAAGATAAACACTCTAGATAATTACACAACATTAATACACAATAAATATAAAAAAATCTATAAACTTTTACAGTAATCCCATGATGTTATAATGGTACATGGAATCAAGTGACAAATGACAATCTCATTCCCATAATATAACACTAATCAAGGTTGACATGTAAATAACAAACACTTCAGGTGGTGCCACACGACTCTACAGGTTCTGTTACCCATTCATTGCGTCCTAAGGTTATGTAACGTGAGGTAAATCTTTCTCTTCAATGCTAAAGACATGGTTGTCGTCTTCTGTGTCTTGGTGCAGCGTCTGTTGTGTCTCTGCCTGGGTGTAATGAACAATTTCTGCATAACCTTCACAAGACACCACGATCACAACACTGTCGTCTTCATCACCTTCACATTTGACGTTTAGAGCTTCTTGTTTTTCGATTGGCTTATCTTTCACTGATATTTCTATTTGTCTCTTGTTTCCCTTATCTCTGGGTTCATACAGCGAGTGAGTCCGAATACATGGAGTTACATTTTCAGGGATTTCACACTTGTTAACTGTAGTGCTGGATGTGTTCGTATTACTCTCCGATTGTGAATGTGTAGTGCGATAGTGTTGATGCGCAGCAACGGCCGACGAGAATGATTGATTGCATAACGAGCAACGCAAACCATGTGTCAGCATGTGCGTCAGGTACTGTTGTTTCTGGGAATATGACACTCCGCACTCCTGGCAATAAAACTTGTGATGAGGCTGAGTGCGAATGTGGTGACGCAGGACTCGTAGAGTAGAAAATCGTCCACCACACGTCTCACAACTGTAGCTGCGTGCTCTTCTATGGAACAGATTCTAAGGAAAATATGTTAAAATTAGCAATATAAACAGTTTATTTTAAGGATACATCAAATACAAAATGATATCCTGTAATGTAAAGGGAATTATTTTTTTCTATCTTTAAAGTTCTATAAACACTAACTCAGGGTGCCTATTGTGAACATCTTCCACATACAACATATTCTCTACCACTTGGCCCCTCATATGGAATAAAGTCAATTCCATTTCTATCCTCCAATAATATAATAAAAGACACGACCTACTGCACCGGGAAGGTAACTAAAACTATTGCTCTTGGAATGAAAATAGTCCTCTCTGTATATTCACTGGTATAACTGCATCTCTGCTATGGTTTAACCCATCACACCAGAATACCAACAATAGACAGAATAGACATAACTCTATACACTTAAATAATAATAGTGTAATAATTTATAAAAGAACCAATGATAACTAGACTGGTTTAACTATAACAACACAAAATCAATTAAAATTCACCATTATATTTATTTAAAATGTATTTCCTTACCTCTAAAACACAGTCTTTTCATTTACTACAACACATTCATTAACTACCATCTCGCCTAATGTCAGACAAAAGCTCAACCCTTCTACCCAGGCTTTTACTTTCTTCCACTAATACTCTCCCTGTCACTACCCATAACCCATATACTGTTCGGGGATTTATATTATTATATCTCCTGGTGCATCCTTGGAGTGCTGGGGATAACCAGTGATGTGTTAAAGAGATAAATAAACTTTGATAGGATATGTGAACTCTCGCTCCAGAAAGTATCTTATGATTTTGTGAGAGAGAATATGACTCAATGGAGGAAGGATTTTGACAACCCTACTGAGACAACAGGAGTCGTGGTGTTCATTATCAGACCCCTGTACATGATGCCATACCTCATGACTGTTGAGTTGTTTCTGAGTGAAAAATTTTCTTCCACAGCGATGACACATGACACGTCTCTCACCATGACGAAGAATGTGTGAGGCAAGGAGAGCACGATGTGGGAACACAGCCGGACAGCGATCACACATATGCATGGTGCTGTAAGTATGGAAAATAAACTGAAAACTCCTTTTTATAAGTATGTTATACTTTATCCACTGAGAATAACAAGACATTAATGGTCTAAAACAGGGACTTAACCCCTTGTGTATGGGGTCCCCTCTGTGGTGAATAAAATTGTCTGACCACTGACCACTTGAGCAGACAATGACACCTGAATTTCACTGTTTACCCAGAAAAAAATATGAACAAACTGCTGACCTTAATATTCCTGGGAGGATTTTCATGACAATTAAAAATATCTTAACCCTAAACGTTCTACTTAATGAATACCGTACAGTACAGAAATTATATAATACGTCACCTCGAGTGTTTTGTGGCAATATGGTACGTAAGAGCTGGACGAGACTTGAATATTTCATTGCAGGTTTCACATTGTTGTATCTTCTTTTTCCGTCCTCTCTTCTTCTTGCCGGGTATCTGTGGTGTCTTTAGGGCAGCCTGTTGAACACCACAAAACCATTAGAGCTTAGAAAATAATAAAATATTCTACAGGCCAAACCAAACCTATGGATACACTTCACTGACTTGAGACGAAGCTTCTGTGTGTTTGTGATGATTTTGCCAGGATTATTTTGAACTGATTCTGGGAAACATGTAAGGGAGGATGTACAGTAGTAAGTGAGGGAGAACCCATGGTGCTTGAAAAAAAAAAAACATTCATTAGAAAAAAGATCTTTAAAAAATTGTCAAATGCCATAATGTTCAGGCCCCTGTAAAATGAAGAGAGGAATCAATAAGAGACAGAGAAGTATATGAACAAGTGTAGTTTCTGAAGGACATTTGGTTTTTACCTCCAGAGCTGCCTTTTCTTGCTTTACGTCTTCAGGAATTTCGTGAGCATGAAACTTTGATAAATGTCGCTCGTAAGCCCACCATGTTGACAGCAGCTTGCCACAGTGAGGACAGTCCATGTCCCGGTGTGCAGCTGACTTGTGGGCATGAAGTGTTTGGGGTGAAGGTGCAGCAAATGTACAGTACGGGCAGCGGAAGACAACTCTTCTTGCACCTGTTCTTCTTGAGATCTGTAACAAAAAAAAGGATTACACTATTATGTTAGATCAGGGGTTCTTAACCTGGGGTCCATGGACCCCTTGGGGGTCCATGGATGGGCTTC